TAACACTGGGTTGAAGTCGTGGTACAAACACACAGACCAGCCTGGTAGGTCATCTTTGATGAACTTATCATACCACCCACTGTCAACAAAATCACCCACTGTCCATGTACTCTAGAAAACGAGGGAGGTGTGAAGGTCGAAACACGTACCGGAGCTCAGACGGATAGTCCACTTCAGACACCTGCCACAATTGGGCGTTAGTCCATGGGTCATCAGTACCAAGTCTGGATAGACCATCAGACGGATTGCTCTCCGAGTCAATCCACTCCAGCCAAACGCGAATTTGAAATTTCTGAAAAAGAAAATGCGCAACTTGGACCAAAGTATGGACGTCGGTTTGGGTGCTACTGCCGCGAATGAGAGATGCCACTGCGGCTTCGTTGTCGATAAACCACAGGACGTCACAATTCTGTAAAGCAGAGCCATGAAACCAGGGCACCAACAAGCCACACAGGGTTTCACCCGGGTAGATCTGTTGTGCACGGTCTTCCCAGGTAAGGACAACCTCATGGGGGACAACACAGGTCACCCCCTGGGGTTGGGCCGACGACCCAAATATCACCCAACCAACGCGTAAAATGTTTTGTTCAAAGGATGCATCTGAATAAATGATGAGAGGTTGGTGTGGAACCGAACCTACATCAATGTCACGGGGACCGTGAGAAGCCACTGTAGCTGCCAAAGGCTGCAGGGTAACGATGTCAGATGGGGACAAAGCTGCCGAGTCGGCTCGCTGGAGAGCGGTCAGGACTGGGCCTGCAACGCGCCCTGCCTGTCCGGAACACATGCTGAGCATCCAGTTAAGGTCTCCCCGGAGCTTGCCTGCATCATCAGGTGAAAGTTGGCCCGCTGCCAATGCACTCTGAAGTTTGGCAAGCACCTTGCGTTGGGTGGAAAATTTTGGTTGGAACCGGATAAACCCCTCCTCGACAAAGTCCCCTACGTGCACGGAGGTTCCAAGGTAATGTCGGTTACGCCCAGGTGCAAACGATTTAGGGGCTTGCGGAGGGGCCCCCATCAGGCGAAACACCAATTGGAGTCCACGTTGTGAGACATCCGCGTTGTGAACAAAGTCAACAGCCAGCTCATCGTCAAAGTAAGCGGCACAGACAGACAATGTACAGCGACGTGCAATGGCGATACCCAACTGGGGGAAACGATTAAAGTTCACAACTGCGCTCTCCAATCCATAGGCTAGGCCGTAAAGGGTGGTGAACCTCCAACCCACCTCAGGCACAAACACTGCTACATTAGAGAACCGCAGGTGATCATCCTGGACAGGCAAGCCTCTATATGCGTCGGGTAGATCATCAGTGCCGAGCCTCAAATCCAACCACTCCAAAGGAGCATCCGAGGAAACATCCAACGTAGAGTTGACCATACGTGCTACAGAGGCTACAAAGTCCACATTAACTGTAGAAATGGTCTCCTGCATGGCGGTATGGGTGTTATGCCCACTTTTGCTGGCATTATCAATGACCCTCTGTTTCCCATCAGGTTGAACAATCAAAAACCGTTCCACAGCACGCCATCCACCCACACCGAACTGATCATTGACTTCCTGCATCGTGCGCAGTGGGCTACAGAAGCCTTTGGAAATTTCATCGCGTGTAACGGCCAAAATTTCGGGGGCATACAAAGGTGGTCGGCTACGCACCAGTCTCAACACATCCGCCTCGGCTGGAGGGCCCAGCCACTCAGACAAGGGGAGTTTATCAGACTGTTGGATACTTCTAAACACACCCGAAGGGGGAAGGGAACCGACGATGGCGAAACCCCGAACGAGTTGCCTCGCTAACTCCCTATCCGGCCAATGGAGTAGACATGCCATAGTAGCCACAAAAGCAGGCTTCTTAGAGTGTGCTACTTTGTGGGCACTAGCACACCTGACTGCTGCAAGGTAAGGTTCCAGCGGCTGCACAGCTTTTTCCACAGCTTTAAGTGTATGCCGCAGCCTTTGGCTGTATGACGGTAGGAATTGCCGCCAAGTGCTCAATGCCTCCACGACGAAGAGAACATCCGGCTCAGGCCAATCTTGGGGAAAAAACGGTGACCGAAGGAGCTGTGATTGCCTGATGTGTTCATCCTTGCCCAACCCAGGGGGCAAAAGATGATCGAGGCCCTTAGCCGACGAACTAGGGTAGCGCTGCCCGGTCAAGCCTGCAAAGATGGCAGTGCGAAGGCGGCCCCAAATGGGCACTGGGCCCAACTGTTCGAAAGGCTCCTGACGAAGCCTCCGCCACATCGGGTAAGCCTGGAGGCTGCACAAGTCACATGCTTCCAAGCGGGCTTGGGCTCGGGTCCAGGCATGCTCCGAGACCTTGGCAAACTCGAACTGCTGTCGAAGGTCTTGGCAAAGATCAGCTGCTGACAAGAGGCCTGGCATAACCTGCAGTCGCCCCGGTTCCCAGACCGTGTGGCGTAGCCGTTCCTGCAGGTGCTGCTCTGCTGTGTCAGGCACGGTCATCACCATCTTGGCCTCCAGAATGCTGGGTAGCATAGCCAGGAGTGCCACCACACTGGGGATGTGGAACCCATTGCCGATGAAGGAGTTCTGAGTCTGCACCCTCTTCACTTGTCCCCCTCGAACTGGAGCAACCACTGCTGGCGGGATGCACATGATCTGGCACCGTTCAACCGGAGAGGGCTGCCGCCATTGATGTCCGGCCCAAAGGAGCGACTGCTCTTCATACGCCCCAGGCGGAAAACGTCGACAGTCAGCATGGAAACGCTCGGCGGCAGCCGGGCTCACCTCGGGAACCCGGTCCACGGGATGATAAAATTCCCTAGTGAAGGTGTGCATAGCTCCCTTGCCCTCATTCTGCATAACCACTTGTAGTTGTAGCATAGGCAGGAAATGGTCGTCCCAAAAGATTTGGGGGGGTAGCGGCTTCTTGCCATTGTAACGCAGTTCCGCTACACCTGCTGGCGCCTGGCGCCATGTCCAGGACTCAGGTGGCGGATGCCCTGGCCCCAGGGCCCCACTCCGAGAGCGAAGCCAGAAGAACCTTCTCCGTGCCACCCATCCACAGGAGCTAGCGTCAAGGAGCACCGGAGGGCCTCCGAGCCACTCCGCGTATGCTGCCTGTACTGGCCGGGGCATGCTAGCCACATTCTCCAGGAACGCAACCACTTCCATGTCGTGACATTCTGGAAGGCCTTCAAATTCAGCCACCAACCGCTGTAACTCCCGCGGCTGCAGGGAGCGTGCATCATGGAGGCCTTTCCGATGTCGGTTCAGTGCACTGTTGCCTTGACATGGAGAGCCGCCTCCCATCAGAACACCCCGAAAATGGCGACGCCGGAGCATGGGAACAAAGTCTAGAGCTCGGAGCGCCTCAACTTTGGGCACACTCACCACGTGGGGCATGACGGTAGTGGTGCAGTGGGTAGCTTCTTCATCCATCTCTGCGGCCACCGCATAGAAATGGACGCCCATGGAAAGCAAGGCGATCAATAAGCCTCCAATGCCGGACCAAAGATCCAAGACCAGCCATGTGCCCTTAAAGGGCTTGGCCCACGGGAACTGAGGCAGATCCCCCTGGCCACGCCATGTGACCGGCTGGGCTGCATACAACCGATCCATCAACTCTCTGCTGCCAGCCTGGGGATCTGGGCCGAGGAGGACACGGCGCTGAAGCGCGACAGGAGCTGGATTGGGCACAGATCCCGAGCCCCTCGCATAGCCGCCTGGGTCCCCCCGGGGGGGTGTTGTCCCTATTCGTGCTGCAATCTCGTGTGGGCCGCCAAACATGCCTTCCCAGAGGCCAGCTTGACGTCACACTGATGGAGATCCTTGCAGCCTGCCTTGGTGCAGCCGCGGCCATCATTGAAGGGTTTGCAAATCTTCTGACCTCCCTTCAACATAGAGA